GTGCTGAAATTTTCTTTGCTACTGTCAGGGGCAAGTGTGAATTTTTTTCTGTTCTACTTCTTGTTGACTTCAATTTTAATATAACAGTTTGGTTTATTAGTTTAATCTCATGAAAGCAAGAAAAGCTGGAACTGTACATTAGTTCACTATTACATTACTCACAAGGCTAAAGATTTCCTCAGTCACTGGATTCTCTAGGGAGCCACACCAAACGTGGGCAGTCATGTATAATGGGAACCTAGAGCTGCACTAGCTTGGGCAATCTTCACAGCCCCAGGGAAGAGATCTGTATGTCACCTTCTTTCTGCTTACTTGTTGCAGCTCCACAGAGTTTGAGTGCTTAGTTTGGGCTCACAGGGAAGACTGGGAGACTGCTGCGGAGTACGTTGATCTCCCTCTGCATGAGAGGGGTGTGACCAAGGTTCCCTCTAAGCTGCACAGTTTCTTAATAAGCCCTGTGCAAGGGCTCAGGGCTGCCACGTACTGAGCTGCCTCAGCCAGGGGAGAAACCCCTCTGTCCCAGCCACAGCAGCTTTTGGGTGTACAGCTCTGGGCTAATGGAGGCTCCCTTAGGTCAGGATCCTAAGCTGCAGCCCCTAAGCACCCTGTGTTGTGTGCCAGTCTTTCCTGGTGGGTGGGGCAGGCATGGAGGCTGCTCTGTGTGTGCTGCTGCTCTTTTGAGCCCCAGCTGAAGCCACATCGCCTCATGCTCTGGGAAGCTCTGTCCCTGTGGCTTCCATTGGCTAGGAATTGCAGCCAGTGGGAGCAGCAGGGGGTGGTGCCTGAAGGTAAGTGTGAGGCAGCACGGAGCCACCTGTTTTCTCACGCATGCGCGCGCGGGCTCACACACACACACACACACACACACACACACACACACACACACACACACACACACACGAGCTGTCCCCAATAAGCACCCAGACACAATCCCTCTCAACCATCCTAGCTCACTCCTAGACCCCACCCCAAATCTGAGCCCCTTTTGCATCCTAACTCCTGCCCCAATCACACCTCTTCCCCCCCACCCAACCTTGAGCCTGCTCCTACACTCCAAACCCTTTGACCTTAACCTGGATCCTCCTACACCTCAAACACCTCATCCTTAGTCCCACCCGAAAATCTGCACCCCCCAGCCAGAGCCCTCATCTCCCCAACCCTGAACCCTCTCCCACACTCCAAAACCTTCAGCCCCATCCGCTGCCACAGACCATCCATGTGCTGAATAAATGTTGTTACATGCACCAGTGTAGAGGTAATATGTTGCACATCTCCATATTGGTGCATATAACAAAATTAATTCCACACATGGACATAAAAAATTAGAGGGAAAACTGGGTGTGACCCATGTGCAGATGATCGTCTTCGTATATGGATATGGAAGTACAATCAAATTCCTCTTAACTTGCCTATTGTTACTAGGTGGTGGCACCTGAATTGTCCTGTGTGATAACTGTTTGAGAACAGGCTCTACTGGAATATGCACCCCTTACAGAATTGCCTTGATTCTGTGGTTTTATAGCAAGGTACACTCAAGGGTATAATTTTGTCATTTCTTAAACAATTGCATACAAAATAAGAAATGAAACCAGAACTGGCTGCAAAATAGAAACTGAATAACTAAAAACTAGATTTATGTTTTTTACCAGCCACCTATAGCAAAAGCTTGTAATCATGCTGCTCCACTTATAACATCTATTAATATAGGATACCGAATGCACATTCCTAAAATATATAGTAAGGTAAGAGTAGTGTCTGTGAGACTCCATTTGTTCAAGAACCCCTCTTAAATGGTAAGAGCTAGGACCACCAAATTTGGAATGCAGCTTCCTCTTCTAACTTAAAGCAAGGTCAGGGTTTGGTTGTGCCAGGATAATGGAATATTTCTGGAATTTGATTGTTTCTCGGGAAAGGGAGGAATCTGGCAGGAGGGAGTTATACTGTAGAATGACCACAGAGGGCAGTAAGGAGCCAGCGATGGGAACTGGGACAGCTGTAACACAATTGGGCTGGCAGGGATGTAGAAAGGGACAGCTTTCTGTGTGTGTGTGTGTGTGTGTGTGTGTGTGTGTGTGTGTTCATACAAGTCCTTGGGGGTGGGAGAAACAGGATTTCTGCTTTCCCTAAAAATAGGAAGATAGATAACCAGTAGGTTTAATTCAGTTTCTCAATGTTAACAGGAAAGATTTGAAATGTTGCTTTGAATGAATTTTTTTCACAGACAATGGGAGCACCCATTGGTTTCTCTCGCAGTATGTCTACTCCCACTTCATTAGGGCTCATCCACCTTTACATCCACTAATGTGATACATGCCATTAAATGCCAGCAATGCCCCTCTGATATATATATAGGCTAAACTAGACAGTCTGCACCAAAAATAAATGGACATCAATTGGACATCAAGAAATGTAACACCACAACACTGTAAATCACTTTAATCTCCTTGGACATTCAGTAATGGTTTTAAAAATAGCCATCCTTCTCCCAAAAAAACCCCAAACCCCTCTTCAAAATCCAATTACAAAAGGAAACAGCTGAAATGCAATTCATTTGCAAATTCAACACAAATTAGGACTGAATAATGATTTAAATTGGTTATCCCACTACAAAGGCAATTTCCCCTCACTTGGTATTCACATCTCACCATCAACTGCTGAGAGGGAGCCACTTCCATCCTGAGTTAATTAGTCTCATTAAGGCTGTGTCTAGACTACATCCCTTTTTGTCGAAAAAGGGATATAAATTAGACACTTCAAAATTGCAAATGAAGCCGGGATTTAAATTTCTCATGCTTCATTTGCATAATGGCAGCTGCGTTTTTTTCTGAAAAGGGGCTTTTCAAAGGAAAAAGTCTGTTTAGATGGGGATCTTTCGAAAATAAAACACTTTTTGAATGATCCTGTATTCCTCAAAAAATGAGGTTTACAGGATCTTTCGAGAAAGGGATCTTTCAAAAATAAAATCCTGTCTAAACAGCTGTTTTTCTTTCAAAAAGCCGCTTTTTGGGGAAAAAAAACCAACCTGCGGCTGCCATTATGCAAATGAAGCACGGGAAATTTAAATCCCGGCTTCATTTGCAATTTTGAAGTGTCTAATTTACATCTTTTTTTCAAGAAAAGGGATGTAGTCTAGATAGAGCCTAACACTGGTCCTAAATTTGATAAGTGTAAGAAGTAAGTATGTGTCCCTGTCTCTGTAATTTCCATTCCAATTGATCTGACAAAGTGGGTTTTACCCACAAACGCTTATGCCTGATCAATCTCTAAGGTGCCACAGGACTCCTGTTGTTTCATTAGAGAAGTGTATCCTGAGTAGATCTGTTGAAACAAGTAGTCTCTTCTTTAAAAAGGGAGGGAGTAGGGATTTTAGGCCATTATTCCTTCAAGGAAAACCTATGCAGCAGGGGTAGCTAACGGAGAAACTCTTTGCTTATAATCATATGTGTCACTGCTCTTGGGGTATTAGCAGCTTCTCCATTGGTCTCTGAGCTTGCACTCAACTTGTATATCTGTCTTCTGCATTCATGCAGCCAACCCTCTACTTAATGCTTAATTAAAAAAAAAAACCCTTCAAAATAGAAAATCTAATATGGGTTTGGTTATAGCGTAGGTAGGGCTGCCACCCTTCTAACAACGGACTCAAAGCCTCAAAAATAAGGCAATTAAAATGTAACAGGACCTTCAGGCCTGCCTATTTATGCCTTTCCCCTGTGGAGTTATTGTTTTCAGGCCCTCCTGTGGGGGAAATCCTATCTCAGTAGCTGCCTTTTTACATTCACCCACCTCCTGGGGAAGCCATTGGGAGCTGCCATACAGGCCTGTGGTGGCCTATGTTCCCTCACCCTAGGTAGGAGAGCTCAGTCTCCTACAGCTTGTCTGATAAAGGCTGGTGAAGCTCTCAGCCCTTTTGTACTCGGAGCTTTCTTGTTCTGGGGTTCCCCATGTGCCTTTGCTCCCCTCGACTTTGGCCGTCCCAGGACCAGTCTTTTTTCATATGTCTTCAGGGACTACCTGGGTGGCGCCTATTGGAAGGCTGACAGACTGCCCGGCCCTAGGGCAAGGTGTGCTGGTGGGGGAAGATGCTTTTTGCTCCCAGATGGGGTGGGCTGCGGGCAACCAGCCCTCAATTCCATCCAAAGTGGACTGCACTGGTCCCTTCCCCCTCCGCCAGCCCTGAGAACCACCCAGAACGTTCCACTCCAGCAACGATGCCCTGCAGCGAGGGCAGCCGGGAACCTATTGAATTACGTACTCAGAAGGAGCAGATGACTGAGGGTGGAAAGAACGGGCAGGTGGCGGAGTGAGTGGTGTCCGAGAAGTATGGGCCTCATGACGGCGGGTGGAAAGACAGGGTGCCGTGAAAGGAGGACTGAATAAATGCGGATTGACAGGTGGAATGAATTTGTGGCATGGTGGAAGGAGGAGGAATGGGCAAGGGGTCTGAATTCATAACCATGTCAGTACATTCAACTGTTATTGACTGCAGATGATGGCAAGTTTGATTCATACCCTCCCCTTCTCCACTTCCAGGCACACACTTTACCACGACCACGACCACAACCACCACACGTTATATCGACCATATACTGCAAGTTTACCTCTGTCCCTCCCTCCATGCCTCCTGTCCTAGGGTTAGCCTCTCCTCCCACCTTTACCCAACTATTCCTTCTGTTCCTATGCAGTTAAGTGACTGTAGTTTGGTAAAGAAGTAGGGGAGGGGGAGAAGATTGAGGGTGGTTGTTATTGAGTTATTGTTGTGGTGTGTGGTCTGTGGCATATGGTAGTTGCGGTAATGGTAAGGTGTGTGTTTTGTGGGTGAAGAGGAAGACGTGTGCTATTTTCACTTTTGTGATTTTTCTGGCTTTGGGCCAGGTTTGGGGGGGCGTGTTAGAGAGAGGGTAGGAAGCTGATTGTGTATCCATTGTGTACAAAGCAGAAAAGTTGCTATTCAGGATATAACATGATTCCATTTTTTTTTTTTTTAGGTGTTAGTGCTTTTAGATACACTGATTATTTCTCTTTGTTTTGTTCAAAGACTTGCGCTGCTTCCTCACTGGAGACCAAACTTCCTGTGCGCATCTTTACAGAGTTAATGCCATGTTTCAACTCCGTGGGACTCCAGAAAGCTGATATTTCAACAGGTTTAACAAACATGGACATCAGCACAACCAGCTTATTGGTCAAACTGGAGGAAGGTAAAGCAAAATATCACAACAGTTACAAGACTACTCTACTCCCCTATTTATTGGTTCAAATTGAATATACCTGAATCTCTTTAATCCAGCAACCCTGGGAAATAGGATATGCTGGATCAAAGATTTTGCCAGGCTATGGAGGGCACTGTGGGGTCTGGGCATAAGGGGGTGGGTCACTTACCTGCCACTGCACTCCCCACTGCTCCCAGACACCACCCATGGCTGCTACGGGAGTGGTGGGCTAAAGCCTCAGGGGAAGTGGCTTTGTGTGCTGCCAGTCCCCCAACTGGGGTGGAGGGGAAGCGGCAGCACATGGAACCACCACCTCCCCTGGTTAGGGACACACAGAGTACAGAGATTTAAGTGTATTTTGATGCAGCTTCTAATAGTTTTTTATTGATGTCAGTGAAATCCACGGCAGTGCATTTACAGGGCCTAGCGAAAGTCATCACTTAACATTAGAAAAAACTTTGTGGGCTACTCCAAACTCGCCTTTCTGTGAAAGATCAGAGATGCCAGAAGCTTTCTGTTTTATCTGACAAGTGGATTCAGAGGTTTCTCTCAGGCTTGGGTGGCTTCTTTTCTCCTTTGTTGCTAGGTGAGGGATAATATATGGATATTTTTTTTCCTAAAGCAGTTTTGCATGAATGTGTTGGAAACAATCACTCTCAAGCAAAGGAAAAATGTGAACCACCCTTGTGGAACACTGTCTACACTACAGACCTTCCTGTGCTGCTGTAGGGCCTCCCATCTAGCTGCTCTATGCCTATAGGAGAGAACTCTCCTAGACGTCTAATTAAACCACCCTCAAAGAGCAGTGGCAGCTAGGTCAGCAGGGGTGGCCGACCCGCGGCTCTCGAGCCGCATGTGGCTCTTTGCTCAAAGAAATGTGGCTCTTGCTAGTTCGCAGCTGCGCACCTGGACTGCTCACGGCTGCTCTGCAAGCACGCTCCTACGCCTGGAGGGAGAAGCATGTGGCTGAGGTTCTGGTGAGACCCAGGCATTGAGTTAGAGGGGTGGTGGGCCTGGATCTGGGGGGGGAGGGGAGGAGAATTGGGTTAGAGGAGGAAATGGGGGTGCCTGGCTTTGGGGGAGGGGAGGAGGGGCTGGCTTGGGTGTGGGGGGGGGGGGGGGGGGGGGC